TTGTTATTCAACAGGTTCAAGGCCTGATCAACTGCAACCAACCCCACCTCCAAACTCATCTTTCCAAAGTTGAGTTACTGAAAGAAAAGTTCGGATCGTTACGCCTAGTACATCTGAAGCGGGAATACAATCAGGCTGCTGATTATTTGACCACGAAGATTTTGATCCTGGATGAGTCATGAGACGTCACGGACGCGGCTGAGGTCGCGCATTTGGAGCACGTATCAAAGATTGCGGAGAAACTCATGAAAGTGGAAGACTCCGAGTTGAAATCTGGAGTTGATCCAACTTCTGGAGAAACACTGTCAAGAGACGTTGAACAGCTTACTGTGGAGTCAACTCCATTGACAAAATTAGTCCGCGTGCTTGCAGCAGTAACGGTAAAGCCAAGCCGAACCCACTTCGAGGGACCGACCTATAGACCCTTTGGAATTCCAAGCTGAACGATGGCGCCGTATCCGAGCGCACCAGGACGCAGATGAGTACTTGTCAGAGATTAAAGACTTTCTGAAGGAAGACTCCGAGAAGTTTTTGCCCAGAAGACTGAGAAAGGTTGCCAAGGTTGCCGATTTATTCATACTGGACACTAGAGACGTGTTGTATCGATTAGCTCGTTCAACTCGTGAGCGCCCGCGGGACTTTCAGGATGAACCTCGACTCGTCGTCCCAAAAGCGCTCAGGGACGATGTCTTGCATTACGGTCACGAGGATTTTCAAGGAGGTCACCAAGGCATCACCAGGACCCATAAGAGATTGTGTTCAGAATTCTATTGGCCTGGGATGTATGCGGATGTGGAACACTTTGTGAAGGAGTGTATTGCTTGCGCGAGTGGAAAAGGGAAACCTCCAAACGCCGGACCATCGCCCGGGAATATCGAACCCCGACATCCTTTCGAAGTGGTTTCGATGGACTTTGTGACACATATGCCGAAGTCCGACCGAGGAAATACGTTTTTGCTACTATTCCAGGATATGTTTTCGGGTTATGTGATGTGCAAGCCGATGGACTCAACCACCGCTCAGGACGTTGCAGAGGCGTATGAGGAACGAGTATTCCGGAATTTCGGAGCAAGTTCGATGATCCGGCATGATCAAGAGCTGTGCAAGTGGAAAAGGAAAACCTCCAAATGCCGGACCATCGCCTGGGAATATCGAACCCAGACAACCTTTCGAAGTGGTCTCGATGGACTTCGTGACGCACATGCCGAAGTCCGACCGAGGGAATACGTTTTTGCTACTATTCCAAGATATGTTTTCTGGATATGTGATGTGCAAGCCGATGGATTCAACCACCGCTCAGGATGTCGCGGAGGCGTACGAGGAACGAGTATTCCGGAACTTCAGAGCAAGTTCGATGATTCGGCACGATCAAGATCCCTGCTTTATGAGCGAGGTGTTCACTCGTTTTCGAGAGCTCTTGAATAGTCGTCAGAGAGTCACTTTGGGATACCGGCCTCAAGCGAACGGACAACAGGAACGATCCGTCCAAACGGTTGTCAGGAGTATTCGTGCTTATATTGAGCAGGCCGATCAGAGTGATTGGGACGACCATGCGGAAAGGTTGATGTTTGCTCTAAATACTTCGTTTGATGCGACACGTCTTGACACCCCGTTCTACTTGATTCATGGTTGGGATCCACAAAGTACTCTGAAAGCGATGTTGGGTCCAACACCGTCAAGTGTACCCGAAAGAACTGCTTATGAGTGGAGGCGAAAAGTCCAGAGAGACTATAGTTACGCGAAAGCGTGTGCCGACGATTTGCAGAACAAAGCTCGACGACATCGATCTGATCTCCAAACGCAAAAGTGGAAGGAATTATCCGAACTTCTGAAATCAGGTTTTCAGAAAGGGGACGCTGTATGGTTATATATTCCGAAGGTGCAGACTGGGCGAAGTAGGAAGTTGGCACATCTATGGCATGGGCCCTTCCGAATTGATGAAGTGTTGGACGATTTTAGAGTGAAACTGAAGGTTGACAGTACCGGTTACCGAGTCAACCCATGGCTTCATATCAGTCGCCTGAAGCCCAGAGCGTTGTTTCCCAAAAGACCGATAATCAGCGTGGATGTAGATGAAGAGGACGACTTCGATGTTGCGTTACTCCCTGAGGACAGTTGGGAAGCCGATATCCAAAGGGATGAATACGAGATTGAGAAGATTTTGGATCTCCGATGGTCTAAGAAAACTCGAACCTCTAAAAGGCGTCGAGAGTACCTTGTCAAGTGGAAGAGTTATAACGATCCAGAATGGCTCCACATTTTAACTGAATTGTGGGGCTCTGCTTTATGAGTTTAACCAGGGCGCACGTGCTCGGGCCCGCTTTCGAAGTATGCAGGCCGGGGATGATCATCCCCAAAATTGACGTCTGGGAAGATGATTGTAAGGCGCCGTATGTACGTAGGATGACAGAACTTGCTGCGAGAATTATCGGTGACCCAGCCTCTTAGGAAAGTGTGGAATTCCTAAAACTAGAATCGGAAGGGACGAAGGAAAACGAAAGGAGAAGATGACACATTCTGGAAATTAAGATTGATATGAATTATGGAAGAGCGCATCCAAAGAGCTACACTCGGTAGGTTGCGCCAGACGAAATCACCTAACTGTCCTCAGAAAGTGGTTCCCATTCCGCATCTGGAAGGATTTTCTTACGAATAACTTCCGGAAGGTGAGCAATCTGGTCTTCGACAGTGGCGCAGTTGGTCCTTTGTACGCGAGCCGGCTCGGCCTTGTCCAAGCGGTGCAGTTGCTCAC